CCCCACATGAGAAACTCTGTCAAGTTCAAAAATGTTTTAGATTTTTTTTTTGTTTTACTTGATAGCTAATTCCTCCTTTACTTTTTACAAAACATGGCAAGCATATACTCCTTTAAAGTACTGCAGTTTTATAGTGGACATAAAGAGCTCACAGAATAGAGAACCATCCAGGATGGCTCCTACATTCGCGAGTTATTTGAGTATGTAGTTGTGAATATACACTGCAACGGAACAAGTTCTAAGTTGAATCAAAAAGCAAGGATGCGTTTTCTTCTCATGTTCTTATTTTAATTACGATTTTGAACTGCTCTCTGGCCATTTATTCACAGCCTTTACCATTAGCATCATCATGGAGTCAGACAAACACACAAAAATACCTCCACACTGCACTGGAAACTGTTGAGTTTGCAGTGCCTTGGCCTCCATTTTCTATTTCAACCTCACACTGGACTAACTAAATTTATGTAACACTTCGTGGGCTTCTGCAACTGTGCTGTCTCTTTATGAGCTGGAGCAGAAAAAACAATTCTAAACCGTGCAATAAAGCCTGACAGCTTGAATGCAGCCATGAAATAAAAATATAATAAAACCAATAGCATGAATAATAATAAAAGGGCAAAAACAAGGAAATAATTCAACAGATGTGTGACATTTTTTGTTCTTCATCGTGGATCAGTTATTCTTGTTAATTATATCACCTATTCTTCCCTTACCATTGATAATTACACGAAGCAGATGGAGAACAGAATGCTCCCAGATGGTGAGAAAGCAAACAAGTTTATAAATTGTTTATTTATGAAGAAATAATTAAAAATTATTTCATTATCTGCAGTTTTCTACTCCACCAATAATGACATGCACCGTGAAGGCCAGCAGCACTTGATAAGATATTCAGGATTCTGTTGTGACCGACTGCTTTTCGTGTAACGTGACTGCAATGACTGACAGATGTGCAAACCGGAATAATAATCTAATCTGTTCTAACGCTGAGGGAATTAAGAGTTTGGATCTTTGAATCTCCTGCCAGTTGGCGCTTCAGCACCGGTTGCCGATCCAGAATACAAAAATGAGAGATTTCCTTTTGCTTTGGCACAGCTGTAGTGTTTGATCAGGTCTGTGCCCTGAAGCCCAGGGTGGCAGACGTGTGGCCAGTGCAGTTCTGAGCCAAGACACGGCACCTCTGCCACAGCTGCTGCTCAACAGGCATCCCAAAGTCTGGACACCTCGGGACCAGACGCAAATCAACAACTGCGCCATTCCAGAGGGCTGCAGCGGGAGACTTAATGGGAGGCAAGCTTAACATCTCCTGCCTTGTGCCTTCTCGGTCCAGTCTTACCCAATTTATCCAAATCTCTTCAGCAGAGACTTTGGTAGGAACGGACACACAAAATCAGAAGCAAAATGTATTTCCAATCTCAAAGCAGAAGAAAAAGCAAGGAAGAATTTACAGCCCTTTGGGAAGTGGAGCTACAGGGTTTCTGAGGCAAAGATGAAGCAGCACAGAGCTGTGATTTAAGAGAACAAGTGAGAAAACATGTGATGGCCTTAAAACCTATGGGAAAGCATTCATGAAAAGGATGGCAAATAGGGGAGGAGCAGGGAGAACTCGTAAGCTCTGTAACTCTCTGGAGTCACAGTCATTCTAGCAATAAGCCACGACACACACCAAAAGCCTGTCTCAAACCAGAAACAAGACTGAACCAGGGGAAATGCCACAAGGGTCTGGAGAGAACAGGGCGAGTGGAGAACTGCAGGTAAAGGGCCACACAGGTAACAGTTGGCTGTGGGGTCATAGGGTGAGTTCCTGGAGTTTAAGAGTACCTTTCTCCAGCTGCCAGAGAGCCCACAGGAGGAAGGCTCTGTGCTCCCTTTAAACCACGAGACACAGCTCATGCTCCCTGCACGAGACAGGAGGGAGCAGGCCAGGAATCCATGCGAGGGCATCACAGGGCACTTCCCCCTTGGTGCTTTTTCCTGACACCACAGAAAAAACAGAGAGAGTTGACAGAGGGACAACAACAACAGGTTACCACACATTGTGCTCATCTGTCTGTAACAGCTGATGCAGACCTGCAGGAAAAGCACCTCTCCAGCACAGATGAGATCCATCTGGACCAACAGTGCTCAGGAATCAGCTGAGAGCAAAGCTTCTGCGGCTTAGATTGCCGCTTTCTCTTCTGCCTTTGGAAGAAGAAAGCAGGAAAGCCTCCTTGCGTGCCCTGGGTCTGTATCTGAGAGCATGAAGGGAATTCACCCAAAGCAGGCTGGAATGTACTGGGGAGACACAGACTGAAGGAGCCCCAGGGCTCCCACCCGCACTCGCTGAGATACGGAGACGCTGACGGCCCACAGACATCCACACACAAACCAGGAGCTGTGCCCACACAGAGCGGCTGAGCTGCTCAGCCCCAAGCTCTTCCTTGGAAAAAAGACACTCCGCAGCTAGAAAAGGGGAGCAAGAGCTCCAGAAGGGCTGGAATAAGAGGAAAGCAGCTGAAAAAGCAATAGATGAGAGGCAGATGTTGATTTGTTGATTACTAGATATCAAGGGGCATCTTGTGGGTATCAAAGCAAGAATACCACCACAATTATCTCAATTACAAGCAACAGATACTCAAGCAAGCAATTAGAGCAGGCAATCAGCGAAAATTCTACATTTCTGAAATCAACTTGCATTTACAGTCCTCATCTGATAGTTCATGTGACAAATCCTGCCACCACTGCAGAGCACTCTAAAGCAGCAATCACAGTGATAAGGTGCCCTCCAGCTCACGGGAACAAAGCGGGCACGGATTCACCTCTGGAGGAGCTGCTTCCAAATAGGAGAGGGCAAAGCCTCCTCGGTTGAAACCAGCTTGGTGAGCGGGGACAGAGACACGGGATAAAGAAATGAAGAATGGTCTCAAATGCTTGGAATCCCTGCTTGCCCCATTCTAAACATCTTACAAGACCCTGCCCTGATCTTGTTTAAAACCACCAAAACAAAGATGATAGGAGACATTTTCTCCTTACTCCTCTACAGGTGCTGGCCTCAGACATCTTCCCACTAATTCCTACTCCAGACTCTTTGCTGCCTTTCACCTTTCTCCCTTCTCCACACTTTCCTCACAACATTGTTCTCCCATGTCCTTTTTCTTTCACTTCCCAGCCCTTTAGCATCTTCTACAACCAAAATGTGTTTCACTTTGAGTCACTGTATTTCATAAGGTGACAGCTCTCAGCCTTTCCATTCTGCAGAGCTAGAACATTTGTCTCCTTGGTGGGACAGGTTGTTCTCAGCCTCACAGATTGCACCTTACTGTTTACAGTAGGTCTGAGAAGCCTTTTAATCACTACAAAAAGGCAGAAAGATAATAGATAATAGATAATACTGAAACTTGGTCATATTAATTTATAAAATACACCCGAGTTTATTTGTAACGTCACGACAAGATTTGGCAGGGTAGTACCAGATTACTGATGAGGATCAATCTTCCTTTTCAAGGCATCTGAGCAGAGTGAGGGCAAGTGCCTTGTGCCTGGCTGCAGCCCAAGGTCTAAAAGCAGCAGCACCTCTTTACTCAGGAGTACACTCAGCTCCCCGTGGCAGGCTGCTCCTTGTGTTACACAGCTTCCCAACGTATGGTGGCCAAAGGTCGCTTCTTTCACGCAACACGAGAGTCAATTTAGCTTTACGTGGTTTCAAGTTCTTGGAATTTCAGAGAAGCCAGCAGCAGCAGACTAGCTTTATCCTCAAGTTACCACGCAGCACTTAGTGCCAGATGTCCATTCTGATAGAGCACAGTCTGTCAAAAATCTATAATTCATGCAGAGGCAGATGCATGGATACTTACACAGCGGCTGGCCTTGAGTTGGGGTTTTTCCAGTAAAACTTCTCAGCAAAAATTTCACCCATTCTGTTAAGTAGAAATTTGAATCTGAGATTTCAAACCATTATGCCAGTACCTACAGAGAAGCTCAGAGAACCTCAGCAAGAACATAAGCAGACAAAAGATTTGCAAATCTTTCAAACACAGGAAGTCTGTGATTTTCCAGCTTCAACAAAACTGCCAAGATGAGCTCTTTCAGGAAGAGCGCAATCACTTCAAAGATGAAGAAGCAGTTTAAAGAAAAGCATCAGAGTTCATTCTGCAGAGAAAAGAAAGGCAAGGGATGTGCATGTGCAGGGAAGGCTGTTGTTGAGCAAAGCCAAAGCCAGACCAACAGCCTCAGAAATGTTCTGGACTTTGCTTTGCCAGCTGCTGCCTAATTAAGAGTTTTAGTTGCCAAAACCTACTGACTAACTGAGAAAAGGACAGCACTAAAAGTATTATATGGAAGCCCATCTCAGCCAACTGGAAGTTAGTAGACAGACATAAAGCTCCCTAATTATGTTTCTCCATGAAATCACAACTACCTACTGAGAGAACCCATCACTAATAGTGTTTTTCCTAATATTTCAGCTTCACTAGTTACTCTTTTGAGGAATCACCTTCACATCAAATTTTAGTTACTTTAAAAAATGGAAGAAAATCGAGTGCAAGTTATTTTAAAAATGAAATTTTAAGACACTTTTCATTTAGAACCTCCAGGCCACACCGGTTCTTTGCGAGTAAAACCGTCTGCTAGTGAAAACAATCTTTTCCTTTGCTGTTAAGTCACTTGGTGTTTTAAGGGTACCTCGTGCATGGAAGAAACCTGACTTTGGGACTGAAAAATAAAATGCACTTAAGCAATCTCGACAGAAAGAGTCAGCAGCACGACACCGTTTTTTTTCCACTCGTGGAGCTCGCCACCTAAACAAAGGCAGCAGGAGCAAGGGCTCAGCATCAGGCAGAGCACGGACCAGGCGCCGGAGGCCGTGACGGAGCGGGAAGGGCTCTGCTCCGGTGGGCGCCGCGCGCGCCGGGCTGCGGCCACTGTAATTAAGGAGCAGCCCTGGGAGGGCAATGCCAGCCCATCTGCCAGGCCCCGCGAAGCTGGCAGCGTGCCTCCCGCCTGCTGCCGCCGCTGTCACCCACCTGATCCTTGGAGACCTGCTCCGACGGAGCGCTCGCGCCAAGCTCTCGCAGAGGATAGACAATCTGTCGTCTCGGCCGCACGGGAGCCATGTAATGAAGGGCAGATGTCAGGGAATGGGCACGGGGACGCTGGAACTGAAAGACAGCAATCCATATTTCAGCAGAGAGAATGTCAGCGGTGCATCACAGATGTCTGCTGCACGGCTTCGCAAACACACAATTCTTAGCTCTGTTGGCTAAATCTGAGACAAAAATCAGCAAATAAACAAACATACTCAGAGCAGAGGAATGAATTGCAGATAATTCCTGACACTAATGAAGATAATTATGAGAGTAATTACATTACTATCTCTGTGGGAATGACAGATAAACAAGTGGTTTGGTTTATGGGATTTTTCAGCACAAGTATTTTCCCCAGGAGGATATTTTTCTCCATAGTGATCATGAATCAGCTTGATTTGACCTCATTAAGCTGTGTTATCTGCTCACTGCTAACCTTTGCTCGCCTGGCAAGCAACAGAGATGAATTTATATAGAAATTCTATACCAACTGAAATGTCTGGTTCATCCGAGTGATAAATGTTAATAAACTGGCAGAAATTTGAAACGAACAAAACCCTAATGCTCATCTGAGCAGCCTGGATCATTAGAAATAGCTGTATCTGTCTATTACAGCATGACTGGCTCTGGCACAACTTACAACATGAAAGAGGAAGAAGAGGATTAGAGGAAATACAGAATGAACATTAATGCAAACTAAATTACACTCAAGTACCATTCCATCCACAAATATTAAAAACTTGGAATTACTATGTTGAGAACTTTGTAAAATATCATACTTACCACTTATTAGACAGTAATATTAGATAAGCTACAGTAACTTAGAGTAAACTCTAGCCTGGTAGCCTGGAAACAGTCAAACCTGGAACCACTGGTAAGACTGAGCTTCTCTTCCATCCAGTGCCAGTGAACTGCATTTTTGTGAGTTCCTCTTCAGAATCTGAGAGCCTTGGTTCCTCACAGGAACACTTAAAACTCCACAAAAGTGCACAAGAAAACGCATCCTTCTGCAAATGCATCCAAGTCTAACCTGTTAAGAGCTCACACGTGAAAGCCAGTGATGGTTTCAAAAACACCCAGGTCACCAAGGACAGAGCCCATCTCAGTCACCATCTAAACACCAGGTGCCCAAGTCCAGCCTGCCAGGCAGAAGCCAGAGCTGGAGATCAGTCTCCAGGGAACAATTCCATCTGTCTCGAGACAGGCAGGTACGACCGACAGATGAACTGCCCTCGCCATGCACCGTGCGTTTCCATCAGTGGTGCCAGCAGCCCAGGTGATTGCCCGGGCCAGACAGCAGCCTCAGATGGCTGCACAGGCTTGGAAACTCTACCTTGTGTTCCCTTTTCTGACATGAGACTGATGACAAAACACATATGTGAGTGTTTCTAGATTACATTCTTCTCAGAAATGGATTTTCTGCATTGGAAGTTCACTTCTTACGGTTCTGCCGTGACACTTGCAGGAACACAAGCTCCCCTCCAAAAGCCAATGAGGTGCCCAGGTCCCACTGACTTTCGGTGAAGCACGGTCTAGAGCACCTGAATCCCTCTGGAAGAGTTTCTGTAAGCCACACCTGGAGGTGTTTAGGATGATCCCCTTGCATTTACTCAGGCTACATGACCCTTGTGCTGGGAAAGGAGCTAAGACCAAGGCCACTTCCACTCTCTGCTCCCCACCACACTTCCTGGAGACACTGGTGGACACCACAGACTGGCCCTGCTTTGCAAGAGCCGTGTCCATGGGTCCAGAATATGTCAGGAAGGAAGAAAAGTACAGTTTGCTGCAGACTGACAAGAAAATCCCTGTATGCAGTCATTGATGGAAGCAAAGAAAAAATAAAGCAAGAAAATGTGGCAACATTTGATACAAGAAATACGAATTACTTCCTCCTTACCTGGGCCTCCACGTATTCTGGATAAATAGGGTAGTAAAGAGAAGATTTGTGACCCAAGCGAAGAATCTCCTTTAGGAAGTATTTTGTATAGTGATGAAATACAGGATTCAAGACAAAGTGGCAAAGATGTCCATGTTCCTCTTGCTGGTGGTGATTAAAATGAATGAATTCCTCAATGTTGTAATGTGATCTAATATACTCAATATCCTGGAAAATTAGGAATTTGTGAGTCAGCAGTGATCAGCAGCTACCTTGACAGGATTTTAGCAAATACCAACCAATGAGTCACTTTCCATCCGTCAGGGAACAACACCTGAACACTGAAATCAAGTGTCTTTGAGAGCTGTCCTCAACTGAAGGGCATTGACTGAACAGATTTTTCTCAAAAATCCATTCATTGTATCAAAACCTCTCCTCACAGCTTGCCCTTATTTACACAGAATGCACACCCGACCCTTTCCCCACAATGCCTGATAAAGGTTAACAGACATTCAAGGGGAAGAAAAAACCTCCCACCTGTTTTTCTGTGTTCAAGGCACAGAAGCCCAGGCTGTCCCTCTCACCAAACTCCAGCTGAAAAAAGGAATTCCACAGAGCAGAGCTGTGTCAGAAATGCCCTCCAACAAGTCTTCCCTGCTGAAGTGATAAGCTGATATTTTTGTACATTTATTCACTCAATCTATCCTCTTAACTCTTAATATAATCAAGAGAATTACTCTCAGGAGTGACTGTTCTATTGTCAAAACTCAGCATTAGAACTCTGAACAACCTAAAATCCACCTTTTCAGTCCTAGAAGAATGCCACAAAAGTAAGACTTGGAGAATGTTTACTTTTTTTACTCCAGCAAGGAATAGGCTTTTGTTTTCAAGTGCATGATTCACAATCACTTAGACTCTACTGTTGGAAAAAAGTTATGAAAGCAAATCTAGAAGAATTACTGCTCTTTGCAGGATTTGTGACAAAGCTGCTTATTGACTTGGAAAGTAGAAGGCAAAGAGGTGATTAAACACTTATTTAGAGGCAGAATGTCTTTGTGCTAAAGCACAAAAAAGTGCAGGAGGAAAACTTCCAGGACATAGCAGCAGCTCCTTGAAAGTAACAGGATCATTTTTTTTTTATCTGTGTGTCAATCATTATCTATGAGCAGAGAAATAATCCAGTGGGCATAAACTAGACACTTTGTTAGGCACACATACAGTGCCAAGCACAAAACTCAGCCTTAGCGTGAGGACCAAGCACCACAGAGCTCACGGAACACAAAGTGAATTTACCATTTCATCCCTAGTGACAGAAACACCAACGATTTGATCCAAAACTTCTGCTACAAAAGCCTGTACTGGCATCCCATCCTGCAAGGTAAAGGCAACAGATGCACATTTCCTGTTCCAGCAGAATCTCTTTCTAATGGTAACAGCATTCCACCACAGAGTCCCAGTTAAAACACTCTCCTCCCAGTGCAGCTCCCAGACACCATCCCAGTTTAAGCAGCCCCCTCCCCTGCAGGGCGCTGTTTGAGCCAGGTTGTGGCTGGATTCTGGACCACACAGACCTTTCCTCACTGACACTTCAGCTTGGCTACAGCTGCTGCAGGAGTGCTACAAGCTCAGCCACTGCTTCAGCCCTGGCTTAAGTCCTGATCTTAGGACAGAACTGAACACATGCTAGCAACAAATACTCACTGGATCCCTGCGAGCCTCAGTGAATATCTTTGAGTCGCTCCATATCTTTTCATTCAAGCTAAGAGTTTCAACGAGCTTTTTGACACCCTGTAAGTCACTGGTTGCTGCTTTTCTTACATTAAATGACCTAAAAAAGGACAAAAAAAAAATAAATATTAAAGTTGACTCTTTGACAAAATAAGGACAATTGTCAAACTGAAGACAACACGCCCTTCACAAGTACCAACCACGCTGTTCAGAAATTGTAACTGATTGCTAAATGACACTTGTTCCAAAGGCAGATATGAACTTATTGCACGGTAATAGCAAAAATCAGAGCATCTACTGGAGACAACTCCAGAATCCTGCTTTATCTGCTATTAAACACCCAGCCCAACCTATGCGCCCAGGTATCGGCTGTCTTCAAATGAGTAAAAGTCAGCAATAAAGGGAGGCTAAGAACCACAAAATGAACGTGGAATCTGTAGCTGAACACTGTGGCACATGAGGAAAAAAGATTAAAAAAAGGGAAAGGCAAGAAAAAAAAGAGAAAAGGACAGAGAAAAATAAAAAGGAGCCAGCAGTCATGGTACCAAGTAAAGCAGGAACATCAATTTCTTTGAGAACAAAGTACTAATTTTTTGCTTTAAGCATTGGTGCCTCAAGCAGTAACACATGAGGATAAACTTGCATGACTGCAGTGCCTGTGCTAAGCGTGGAGTGCCTGTCAGTACTGACACAGCAGTGACGTGGCACCAGAATGCCAGTGCCACACATGGAACACCTTACCCACAGACAGCAGTGACCTGGCACTTGGCTCATTTACAGACTGTCAGCAAACATCCTACCTACTGGCTAGGAAGAAAATTCACTTCACACCGACTGTCTACAGAGCTGAGGAGCTCTCCCAGTGTCTTTTCAAAGGCAGCAACCCTTTCCTGGTTACACACAGCTCATGCAACCAACACTTGTGGAGTGCTGTTTGAGAAGCTGAACCACAGCTTCAGTTCCAAGAAATCAGTTCCTCCACCCACAGATAAAAAGTTGTGATTCACTTAGTATAATTTCTTTATTCCCGTTCTTCTTGCTTTCAATTTAAAAGTGGATGTGCTATTCTTCAGCCTCAGTCACACTGAGAGGCATCTTGTGGAATATCTTGTGGAATATGGGTTTAATGAATAGCACTGTACCTTAAAAAACACAAATTTACCGAGATTCCGGTATGAGAAATTTCACAGCTGAATTCACTGACCATTTCTGAGTGCTGAAAAGCACACATTTGATTACTGAATTACAAACTAATGCTGGCACGTTTCCCCTGCCGATCGCAAGAGCCAGCAGTGCTGAGGACTGCGGCTCACCCTGCCACGGTGGGAGCGTGCCCTCCTCAGCCCCCCCATGCCCAGAAGGCAGCTGTGCCTGCAGGGACCTGCATCTCAAACGTGACTAAAACAGAACATGTGAAAAGGTGAAACTGCCATTGTTTTTAAATAAGCAGATCCACCTGCTCCACTGGGAGTATGGAGGAGAAGGAAAGATATCCAAGGTCTGTACTCGTTTCTCTCCCAGCAATGAATTAACTCATTCTAGATGCTCAAGTCCTTTGACTGCTCAGAGACAAGGACACTATTATTATTATGCTTTTTAGTGAAAATTGAGGCAAAGTACCCATTAAGAACCTCAGCCTATGCCTTGTCATCTGTTATTTTTTTCTCCTGCACTGTTAAGTAGCAGACTCACAGTTCCATTTGCTGCACTCTTGCTTTTTGTGTACTTAACACTTTTTCTTATTCCTTTTACTACCTGTACTAATCAGGAGCTCATTTTGTGCCTGTGCCTCTTCTGACTTTGCCCTTTCATGTCTTCCCCTCTTCTTACCCTGTTTTTCTTTTAGTCCATTTTCTGTGACTTCCTTTTCACTTCCATGCTTTTGAAAGCCGTAGGTGCAAGTACAATGTGTTGATCTTTCACTTTCACCGATTTTGGTTATTTCCAAGAGAGTATCTGCTGTTGCACACTGTGGGTTTTGTTCTGCAGAAACTTTCCAAAAGCTTACTCTGGTTTCTCCCAAAGCTTTTCTGACCCTGAACCTCAGCGAGCAGCTATTTTGCCATACTTTCCTGCAAAGCTGCAGGTGGATTAGGAAAATGCTACTGACGATCCTATTTTGTTTTTATGAGAGGACTGGTGTCACTTGGAACATGCACAATGTAATCAGAATGGTAACTTTTTTTTAAAGAGCCTTGATAACAACTTGAATTTTGCCCAAAATTGCAAGAGGACGTATGACTCCCACCCCTGCTGGAGGATTACTGAGCAGCTGGACCTGAGATTACCAGGAACTACTCCAGCAGCTCTCTCTCCAGCCAGCTGGATTTCTACTCAGGACCCAGAAGCAGCAGCTTTACCCCAGGGCAAAAAGCTTCTGCCTAGGTCCAAGAGCGGCTGGCCAGTTCCTGCATGAAGTACTTGTGTACCACCAAAGGTGATCAGGTACACAATTAAACCTAGAAATATTTTGCTAAAACCACACTGTATTTAGGTACATTAGGACCAAAACCAAAAAAAGGAAAATCTCTAACTATGCCACAATTTAAGCTTGGTGTTTGGGCCAGAATAGGCTTGATAAAGCACTCATTCCACCTAACAGAAGTCACAGCAAGAAAGGTTTGGTGTTCCAGTTCATTGATATCTCAGCCTACAGAAGTGTCCAGAGCACTGCAGAAACTGAAGGCCTAAAATAAATTATTCAACACCAAAAGTAAAATAGAAATTTATAGAACAGATACTCAATGACGTTCCTGCTGTGATCTGTATGCCCCAGAAACACATGACTACAGTTCTCTTCAGAAAGCTATAGCATATTTCCAAGAATTAAGCCGACACCAGGCTATCAGGTGCCAGTGTCACACAGCCTGACCTGCCTCCCCAAGGCCAAACACAGCACCACATTTCTCTGTTGGCCTTGGCCTACAACCAGGGAACCTGGAGCTGCCAGTCCGTGCCGATGTCCATCTTCTCTCCCCTAGCTGTACCCACAAATCCCAAATGGATCCTCCCACTGTGCCTGGGTGTCCCTGAGAGGACATGCCCTACAGGGGCTGGCAGGTGTGTCCCACAGAGGGCTGTCCCAAAGCATGACTCACGTGAGCAATCCCGCCCGGTGGAACACGTACAGCTCCCGACCCAGCCTGGAAGTGCAGGAAGGGACAGCCCGAACAAAGCTCTGGAGCAGAGGGAACTCTGGGACGTGATGTGGCACCAGGATGACACACAGGTCTCTGTCCTGAAAGACATTGGCAGACAGTAAAAGCATTCTCTAAGCTTTACCCAAGGCCAGAACACGGGCTTACACTGCACGCCTCCAAGCACTGCTCTGCCTGGGCACCACCAAGGAACTGACAGCTCTGAAATGGCTTCATTTTAAGCAAACTATGGGATGAACCTTCCTTACCATGTCTGGTGATTCCATCACGACGCTTCATTTCAAAGACTGACATCGCTGGATGGATAAACTATGTCAATTTGAACTGCTTTCTGAGTCTGCTCTCTCTAGGAAATTGCTTTGGCGGTAAGCAGTTTTTGAGTGTGCTGCTTCTTAGGGCCAAATCAGTGTCTCTGATACCCAGGGCCTATCTCTAAGGCACACTGTCATGCAGTTATTTGTAACATAACTTTACAACACTCCGGTGTGCATTAACAAGGTCTCAGAAAGGGGACTTTGTTACCTCAGACAGAGTGATCACACAGGGCACGAGTGAGAAATAGCTACTGCACTCTGAATCCACAGTGCCGCTGTTCGGTCTGTAGGCAAATACTATGAATCTCCTTAATACCACTGTTTTGTAGGCGTTAACTCCATCTCCTTTAATAAATTTTGCTGATTTTGGTTTTAATTTAGGTACAGTCTGGATCTGTCCATGGTTTTAAAGAAATTTGAAGCATTTTATCAACTAGGGAGACTACAAGAGCATGTAGTGCCAGGGAAATGCCTTCACACTGACAGAGAGTAGGTTTAGATTACATGGTATGAAAAAATCCTTCCCTGTGAGGGTGGGAAGGCTCTGGCACAGGTTGCCCAGAGCAGCTGTGGCTGAGCCATCACTGGAAGTATCCAAGGCCAGGTTGGACAAGGCTCAGAGGAACCTGGTCTAGTGGAAGGTGTCCTGCCTATGGCAGGGGTAGAACGAGATGATCTTGAAGTTCCCTTCCAGCCCAAACCTTTCCAGGATTCTAGGACAAACAGAGGACTTAGGTACGCATTCCACGCAGCCCAGAAGCAGCCAAGGAGGGGAGCAGCTCAGCCCAGGGTAACCAGGCCCAGCACACCTGGGACAGACTCACTGGAGCAGCAGACCCACATCCCCTGGCTGCCAGCTGCACTGCTGTCCCACCACACAAAACAATTCCAGCTTTCGTTATACTCACTGGGAAAACGCTGAAAGCATACTGCAAAAAATCCAGTGACCTGCAACCAAGAGCAAATATTGGCAAATAAAGCACATACCAGAATGATCTGATACACTGTCATATTGACATCCCTACAAGTGCAGGAACATTTATTCAGAGCAGATCAGAATATCCCAATAGATCACCAACAATCAACTGCTGATGATGCATGCTGCACAGCAATTTCTGACTTCTAGTGCTGAAAGCATCATTATTAACAAGAATAACCAGGATGTTTGACATAATACATAAGCTCCTCACTAAAAGGGCAGGGGGAAGGAACAAACAAAACACTGGATCTCATGTTGTTGACTCCAGCCTCTTCAGAAGCCATTCCTGGCCTATCACAGCAGCATTAGTATACAGCAAATATTACTTCAGGTTACAAACAGTTGTTGCTATGTTCCACAGTATTTTCAGCCAGCACCAAGGGCTCTGTGACTGTGCACTCAGGAAAACCTGCCCAATGTGCTCTGACAGACTAACAGGAACATCAATACTTGGAACTGGTTTTGAACACTTCTTTCCACTTCTCACCCACTGACTTAGAGCTATCCCAGTCTCTTTTCCATGGTGACAGCAAATTGTGACATCTCAGTTTAAAAAGACCTAAGAAATCTCACCAAAGCCCTGCTGTTTCTCCCACGTGTAAGGATATCAAAGAGCTCAAAACCCAGTCAAGCTGAAGTTTCATAAAACACTTTTCCACCACACAAGATGTATCTTTCGAAGAAATTCATACAGATATATGTTACCTATAAATACTGATAAATCCTCTCCTCATTTTAGAACTGTAATTAAGCTCCCTTTAATTGCCTCTTTAATAATATTACTTAAAAGAGAAATAATTTCTAATTGCAATACCTGTGCTTGAATGTAAACTTAAAGCTGCAAGTACAGATCAGGATTGGGGTATAATATATTCACCTATATAATACATAACTAAGACTAGTCAACAGAACAGCTAAGCAGGGGAAAGGAAAATGCCATTGCAACTATATTGTGTTTTAATTTTCTCTCTGGTATCCAGGACCTTGTTGGCAGCAAGGACCACAAGAATTGAGGTGGGAGATTTTTCAGGGGGCTTAGAAAAGTATCAGATATCAACAGATAAGCCAGCAGTTCAGTTCCTTCACATTTCACTCTCAGTGCACTAACAAGCCACGTCTCAGGTCTGGGTTTTAGGAGATGGAAACATTTAGCAGCTTTAGGGGGTAACAAGTCCCAAGGAGCAAACTTCCCTCAGGGCTGAGATGCAATCACACCTACAGCTTCAGGCCAGCTGCTATTTCTGGGTCTGTGCTGTGCAAGGCCAGCAGGAGCTCCCTCAGGACAAGACTCCAGGCTGCAGCCACTATCACCTCATGCCCTCCTCTACAGATATTTGCTTTGCTAATACTTCTTCTACAGGCAGGTGAATCAAGCAAAGGCAAGCCAGACAAGCATACAAGCAAAATGTTCGAAAACACCAAGATCTACAGATTGCTCAGCTCTGCATGAGGTAACCTTAGGAAAAGCCTTCAGACAGGAATGCTATCTCCTCCAGATACCCATCTTGGAATCCATACTGCTCTGCAGATATCTCCAGGTAAAAAAGACTGGGAGCACAACATTGAATGATAAATGCAGTGAGAAATGTCTTGAACAGAAACAACAAATAAAGCACAGAGCTCAGAAGGGGGCAAAAAAGGGACAGATCCTTATCCTAAGCAGGAAACTATGAGCAGAGAACTCAAGAAGTCTACAGTCAGATTATTTCCTGACATAAATGTCTATTACAGCTCTGAACTGCTGTTTCAGTATAATGGAGTCACTCCAGAGCAAGCCCCTCACTTCTCTGATATTTTAAAATAAAGCTTTCTTATTCTGCAATAATTATCTTGCTTGAATTTTTACACTAGATTGTCCCTCAATTAACTGTTCCAGAAGAGCCTCTCTGCAGTGCAATTGTTATCAGACATTAGTTGGTCAATGTTTCTAAGTGCACCACAGATCTTCTGGGTTGACTTCCTGCATTTCATTAATTAAACTAGTTCTTAATAAACTTCAGCTATGTTACTGGGTATATCACTTGGGAAGCATGTACACAAAAGGCCATGTCTTTGCTTTGTTTTGGTAGCTTTGGATATTTGCATTTGCAGCAGATTCAGTGTTCAATCCCCTTGGGTAAGTGCCCTCCTTAATCAAGAAACAGCTCAATAAATAGAACCAGTTTTCAAGGAATTCTCATTTTTCTTCTCAGTGAAGTTTACTCATTACTTACACATCCTTTAAGCCAGTGAGTTCAGAAGTGGCTACTCACCAATGACTACTACTACAAGTAGACAAATGTTTTTTCAAACTGTACTACACATGTTCAACTTATCTATCAAACCCTTACTCCTGATGCCTGATGTCTGCAGACATGACATGGGTTTGAAAGCATGGAAGATCCTGGGTATGTTCAGCTGCTTCATCTATTCTGCATCTTCCTTTCTAACAAAAGGCAGATTGAAAAGGAAAAAAAAGTTCCTGGAGAAGTTTCTGATGATGTGGTCGAATACAAGTTTGCTCTTCAAGCATGGAGAGAAATTTTGCAAAAAAAAGAAAAGTCTAAACCCCATTTATAGCCCTATTCTAATCCACCAGGATCTAAGAGTGCAAGGTCAGTAGCAGCAATTGTGTTAAGAGAAAATCCCTTTGTCTCCTCCAACCGTAGACGATTCTAGAAAATAAAATAATTTCTTTCAGTGGCTGGAGACAGTGTTTAGAATGGGAACATTCAGCTGCAGAGCTAGGAACAGCTTTATTGCCCCACGCAGTGAAATGAGAACTACTGTAACATGTAGGTCCTCTTGCAGCTAGCCAGATTCAGAATAAGTACCTCCATAGAAGGAAGAAGCAGCCTTTTCCCACATTTTTTCCAACAAAAATTAATTCTTGACATTTTTCCCCCATAGATCTGTCCGAGCCAGGAAGCTGCAAGAGGAGGTTGAAACAATATTACCGAAAGTCAAAGAAGGAGAGAAAAAAGAGGTCAGCAAAAAATCCCACCTAACCATTGCAGGTGCTGTCACTTTCTAATTTGTCCTAAAAAACATAACCTTGAAAATGGTTATTAATGGCAAAGCAGTGACTCTTCCTCTATACTTGCCTAGTTTCATACTTCTCATTGATAAAGAACAGACGGATACAGAAGACATTTGGGTCTCCTCTGTACACGGGGTGCAAATCCCCCTCCTCAGTCTCCAGGAGAGGTGCTGCTGAGCCCTTAGAGCCTGTGTTGCTGGTATCACCCACAGGCACTTCAGTCTGGGAAACGGCCACTGCTCCGTCCTCCTGCAACAATGACAGGGAGGGTTCACTTACAGCACTTGACAAAGTGTTTTCATTAGTTAAGCCCTATCCTTTCTCTCCTTTTCTTCCCACCCTGCTGGCTGCTCGTGGGGAACTGGATGGGCAAACTCACCCTGACCATTCACTCTGACCCCCTCCCTGCAGACCCCAGGCAGAGCAGCTTCCAGCCCACGTCCCACAGGAGGGGATCTCAGCGGTGCTTGCTCGTCCTCATCCCTGCCAGCCTTGCTCCACATCAGCTCTGAGAGCCACCGGCACTGCTGGGGGCAGCAGCGGTACCTGCACAGCTGCATCTGCACCAGGAACGCGTTCCAAGTCCTGAGAAGAAACAGGCTCTGCCTTTGGACTTGTTTGGCTGCTTTCATCTTTATCTGAGTACAGTAAAAGAGAAAGTGCATAAGGTTTTATAACATTAGTTTTACCCCCATAACCACAGCAACAGCTGGAGTGGGCCAGGCTACCCCTGCCAAAAGGTTTCATTTTAACAACCACAGTTAAAACAGACCCTCCTCCTTGGGTTACTTGACTGGAGCTTCATTAGACTAATTGATTTCAAAGTAAAAAAAAAAAATCCAGGGAATTGGTTCTAAAATAAGACCTGAACAAGACAGTTTGGAAGCCATTCCTAACTTGTGTGTATCCCTATGCCAAATCTTTACCCTGTCTGAACTGAGAAACAGGAGTCAGTGTATTGACTGGTGTCTTAAACCCCGTGTGCTGCTAATTTGCTTTCTGGTGATTACAAGGACAAGCAAGGGCTCTTCATTCTCAGATTAGTTCTCCTAAAAGAACTGAAATCCAGGTTAAATCCCAGTCAAGCCAGAGCTCTTACTGTGCAGTAAGAGACAAGAAATAAGGGTTATAATTCCTTTATAAATTTTACACATTGAACTCTTGAGGTATAGGTGTTGCTGCTGAAGAAAACACACCAAGCAAGGACATCCTTGCATTTGGAAGATCCAGTAACATTAAGGAAGTCAAGGTTTCTGAGTTTCAAGAAAAATACAAAATAAGCTTCAGCAAACAACAGAATTCATCCCTTTTCCCTCAGAACTTTGCCTTGGGACACCCATGTAAGCTACATTCACAGACAGAAGCATTTCCTCACACAGTAATGGGCATTTTTAAAAAAAAAAATACCTCCAAAGTTTAAAATAATTTAGCCAGAAGTATTTAGAAAAAAAAAAACTTACGTCAAAATTTGTTTCTCTGCCAATAAAAGAGTGCAGATGCAATGTGCAGGGCAAGAAGAAATGCGGGGGGTAGGAATCACGGGTTCTCTGGGGGTGTCACAGATGTGAGCCTTCACAGAAATGATCAAATGTCATCTTGATTAACCAGCTCCATTTCTCATTACCAACAGCCTTGCAGGTGTCAGAAGTTAATTAATACAAGTCTCTTGTTGTCATGTAAATATTGATATGTTGTTTCTGACTTTATAGTAAAATGCAAATCCTCCACCATCCACTCCTGTCAGACATGGCTGCATTGCTGTTTACAGACACGAGTGATATGAAGAACTGCAATATTGTCACTAAATCACGTAAAGACCGCAAACAAAGAAAATTAAAATAATTCTGTGATTGCTGGGTTGTTAGCTGAGGTACAGTCAGCAGGATCAAGAAGCCAGTTCACCATGAGGCCTGATGAAAAGCCCTTGAATCATTCCCACTGCATCATGTTTTCTAGCAACTAATTCATGACACCATATAGAGTAACAACCAAATTACTGTAATTACCCTGAAACCTAAGTGGCATATCAGTACAGACTGTTGTACACTCTTTCATTATTATTCAGCATTACATTTTGAAAGGAAAAAAATATCAACCTGTGGTCTCTACTTAAAAGCTAAAGAGCTTGAAAAAATAACCTTTTTATATGTAGGAACATAAAATTACAAAGAAATGCAGCTTGCATTTTAAAATTTCCAGCCTTCAGATTCCATAAAGCCAGTCCAGATCTTCTGTTGATGTCAGGTCACTGAACCTGCTCTGCCCTCCCAGCAGGGCACAGTCCAGCAGCAAGTTTTCAATGCAGTCCCTAAAGCAGCCTTCATGAACAGGCATGGCTTTGCAATAACCACAAACACAAACTAAATGGGACTAACACCACAACAGATTTCAAGGACGTGGGCTGGCCCTTATGTTGGAAAGGCTTAACACTGGACTACTGGGATGCAACTCTTCTATTCCAAAATGTGCAAAGCTACAACGAAAATTTTAACTACTATTCAGTGATAACAGAACTAATGTGCCTGAGCAGCAAACAGACAACTTTGATATTAGGTTTCTAGTCACTCTCTCTAGGAATGGCACCAGAGTCAGGCTCTCATCTTATGATACTCAAGTTTCTCCTCATGTGTCCAAGATCATTAATGATTTGTACTCAAGCTACCTGAAAGTCTACAAATACTTATTTTTCCCCAGAGCTGCCCTTGTCATTCCAAATAAAGAGATACTACTACTTTAAAAAGTCTTACTGAAGGCAACCCACAGGACTGCAACTACCACCAAAACTAGTAAGTTTTTAAATGAAGAGAGAAAAGAAGGGAGACAGATTCACAGGACTGCTAACCATGCTGATTAAAACATTTATAAAAAGCGCCCAGATGCCAGATTCTCAAGAAACTGAACAGAACAGCTGCTCATGCTAAATTTTAACACTTAAAACAAGTCCTGTAGATCTCCCAAACGATAAAAAACACGTAACATCTGTATTCTCAAACCCTGGAACCACATACTCACTGAAAAGCTCAGCAGCACAGACTTTGCCACAAAACAGACCTACAGCTTGCAGTCTCTGCAGAAGGAGAGAGGACACCAGAAGCAGGAACAGCCCTGGGATGGGTAAGGCTGGCAGAGAGCCCTGGTGGTCAGTCACCCTGCCCATCCCCTGCTCGAGGAGGGTGACCCAGAGCAGACAGCCCAGGACTGGGCTCGGGCCAGAGCCATCTCTCTCCCTCTTCAGTCTCATTCCTCCTCCTGCCCACGTCTGTCACCTCTTCTGAACAAATACTCCTGGAGCTGCAGGAGCCCAGGATCTAACAGGAGACAGGCAGCTTCCTCCATCTCCTATGTGCAAGATGCTTCCTTGCAGGGGAGGGGAAGTCCACGGGAGCAGCTACGAGACCTGTTTCTCTCCCTTTTCTGCTCTGTGACTGACAGCTTCGAGGTACCAGCTGGTGACAGCCCTGCAGCTCCCCGGTTGCCTTTTTTGTCTGCTGCTTTGTGTTCAGAAAAGCAGATATGTAACAACCTAATGGTGGAGGGGTTTTTTTCCACTACTGATAATTACTAGATAGCAAATTGTTGCCCTTCTGCACAAAAAGAAAGCCCTTTGACACTGAAAACTAAAGACAACAACCGTAAATCATTCACATGACACTTGTGCTCTACAAACAGGTGACATATCTGTGCTACTGGTTTTTATCACTCGCAGGAAGGCGGCTTGCACATGTGTTGCTGTATCATGCTCAATATAAAAGCAGAATAAAGAGACGGTCCCTGATCTCCCAAAATCTTGTAACCCAGGAGACTGCAAACAATAAGCAAAGAACAGAAGCTGAACCACAAGGAAAAAAGATGACATGAGTCAACAGGACAACATAACAGGCACAGTTAGCCAGCTGCTCAGCTACTGACAGACCTCACCTCACCGCTAGATTCCACAATCACATCTTCCTTTAACAGCACAACTGTATCTGATAGACAGTGTACCTCACGCCACAGCTTTCTGAAACCTGAACCACATTCATCCCACAGCTGGTACAGGCCAGCTCCCCACAAACAACAATTGCTTCTGAGTCAGAGACCAGGGCTATCAAAATTCCCCTCCTCAATTAAAAAACACCAGGCATCCTACTTCAAAAACAGGTATGTTAATTTGTGTTTTCTTGCTAGTAAACCTACATATCCTCTTCCAACCCCCTGCAGAACCCACTCAGAAGCTAGACACAAACACACCCTGAATTTATTTAGCACTTTAGAATAGAGATACCTCCTTGAACGCTTGGCTTCCGTGGCACTTCGAGAATATCCTCTGGATGTGGTTTACAGAGTCCATGGAAAGGCCCCAAGTCAAAACACTCTTGAAACAAGGAAATATTCACGTGAGAACATAAGCTCATGAATCCTACAGCAGTGCCATCAACCTGGAAGATAAAAGCCATGTCAGACAAACCTGTCATTCTACATCAGGACAAAAAAAGGAAACAAAAAATTTCTGAAATATCAACTTTTATGTTCCATCTGTGCATAATGGAAAACTATAAAGGAACTATTTCAGCAGAAGTCAAAGATCCTCTTTTATTTTTTCTTTTTAACATATGTATTAGGACCCCTACAATAGATGTTCTAATTATTTTTTTTAGCTATGACTTGCAAGAGTATTAAATTTAGATATTTGGGGCAAATATCTAAAAACCTAGAGTTTCAGTAAAAAATTTGTTATGGCATATACACAACACACTTCCAAAAACAGATCACTGTGTTTAAAGTTACAGTGCAGCTGAAGTAGAACCTGCATCCAGTTAGCTGTAATAGTTGACTCATTACTGGACACTGATTTGGACCCAAATTGGGCTCAAACTGAAGAGTGTATTTTATTCTCCTAAGTAATTAACAATTCAAGAAATTAATTATGTATAATATAGGGAGTACCTAATGCAATATGTATTATTTGCAGCACTTTCAAGCTCCAAATAATTCTGTGCTCAGAAAAAGTCCATGAGCTAGTGTTAAAACCCAAAAGCCCTGGCAAACATGAAAGTGATGCCAGGCACCAATGCTGGCACCAATGGCAGACTGGATGCCTGATTGCTGCTGGAGTTCTCAGCAAGCTGCAGCCCTCAGCAGGACACACACACTGGAACCAGGGAGAACTGGCATGCTGGAGAGCTTCTGCCTTTAACCTGAGACAAGTCCAGAAGAAGGAAGCTCTTAAATTTTTAGTAGTGTATGCAACTTTCTGGTGAAACACATTATCTTTCCTCCTCGATACACATAATGAAAGCCTTTATAAACCTAATGAAAACTCAAAGGCTGGATTTGTACAGCTGTTGTATCAGGCCATCAGCACTTCAATAAAGACTTTAAGAAGTGTGACGTTTAATTTTTCTGCCCTCAAACAACAAGTGATTGTTTGTTTGCCTTGTCTGCGTAACCAACAAAGCCGGGGCGCCGCGGTTGCCTGGCTGCTGTGTAATTTCAGGCCCAAGGCTCAGCAGAGGCTGATTAACCAATCCATCTACCATATGTGCAAAAAGAGGCTGCCAGCTTCCTTCTCCACAGGGAAAGTTGGCATCCATCACGGTTTGCATGGAGGTGCCTTCCCAACCCGCCGTGGCGGCTCGGATAAACTGAGGGCCTGGAACACCTTTTGCTGGTCTCACATCCAGCTCTGAACGTGCCACTGCAATGTATTATTTATAGCAATGGCCCTCTGCAATGTGCCATTACACTAATGGTGCACCGTTTCCCATTTGGCTCCCAATGGCAGTGATAACATGTTGCAATCTTACAAAATGATTTGCCACAAAAAAGCAGACTTCAGGAATTAAGGGGGTTATATCGCCCATCAGCTTGCACTGCCATGCACAATTACAAACACATGAAAATCTTAACAGGAATTTTCAGCAGGCTAACTACTACCACTCCTTTCTTATTTAAATTAATTCCTGGCTTTGTCTTCATTTCAGCAAAAAACTGTTGGAACCAAGAGAAAGAAAAATTATCTACAGGACTTTAAAACTGTGAAAGGATTACTGCCTTCTCATATGCAGTATTACCTTCCACTGGGAATGAAAAGAGGTCACCTGTAACGCAAATGTCTAAAATGACAACATGGCTTCATCAAGATGGTCTGTCCAAATTACTTGAAAATAGTCTGCACAAGAAGTGGGAATTGCTGCTTCATTTCTGAACTGGGAACAGACACAAACTACATTGACAGGGGCACTGTGTGGGTATAGAGGAAGAATTCTACCTTCCACAGGAGGGCTGCTGATTTTATTCCCTCAGCTGAAGTGAGCTGTCACACAGGACATCTCTAAGGCTACAATCAGACAAAACCAGAGCTCATGGAAGACTGACCTCACAAACAGCTGCCTGATTTTCTTCACCTTCACGTTCTATGAGATCAACAAGGAGATATTCACCATAGGTTTCCTTCAGAGTCTCACTTTGAGGCATCCAGATTAGCATGAGATCATCATAATCTTCCATCCTACAAAAACAAGATCAGGTAACGTCCTAAAGCTCTGCCATTAATAGGCCCAGATACTTCTGTTCTACTCTGTTAACATATGGAAAAATATTACAAATACTTGTTCCAAAGCCTGCACCCACAAATCACTTCACCTACGACACATCCCCAGTGCACACTGAAATCTCAGCACCAGAGAGACAACCACACCCAAAAGGCAGCAGAACCCACCAAAATCTGCACTGAGCAGTGAAGATGCTTCTTTCCCTAAGAAAATATATGGGAATCCCAGTACAAAATTTCTCCTGCCTCACTCTCTTATGACTGCGGTGGAGCACTCAGACAGGTCCCAACCTACATGGATTTTTATTTAAACAGGCAACAGAGACGCTTTCCCACTGGACTGATATTTATAGCCAGGATCAATGGAACTCTGAATAAGAAAATCCAGCACTTTTACCAGAACAGTGGTAGAATTCAGTCACCCATGCTGAGACTATGGCACAAAGGTGGATGGCAAACCAGCTCTAACGCTCAACTGCTATCAACAGCACGAAGCCACTTGTGTTTATCTCTAGGAAAAACGCCGGAATTGTGTGGTGCAACCAGGAGCAGCATAGAGGAAACTGGGGCTGTGTCGGGCCGCCAGAAGGAACAACTACAACAAACTGCAGGGAAACCCTCCCCGCTCGGGGCAGGGAGCAGGCGGCTGTCCCGGCTATCACACCAACACCGAGCACGACCAAACGCTCGTGCTGGGCCGTCCCGACCAGTCCGTCCCGGCGGCACCGGAGCTGCCGGAGCTGCCGGAGCTGCCGGAGCTGCCGGAGCCTGCCGGAGCCTGCCGGAGCCTGCCGGAGCCTGCCGGAGCTGCCGGAGCCTGCCGGAGCCTGCCGGCGCCTGCCGGAGCCTGCCGGAGCCTGCCGCGGGCTCTGCCGCCA